GAATTCAGCATCCTTGGCCACCTGTTGTGGATAGCATGCTATTTTTTGACCCACAAGGCATTCAGAGTATGTTGCTGTACATGCCAGATAAATCTGTTAATAAAAGAAATAATGAGAAAAAAGAATAGAAAGCAAATCAGGCCACAGGGGAATTGGTACAGATTATAATTACCTGTGTAGTTGGTAGAATTACCAATGGGGAATGTGTTATAGCTGTTATTCTGTTGTACAATTGTTGCCCGGCTTTCTCTTTGGTTATAAGTATGTAGATAGTTTGGTCAGCATGGCTCTAGCTAGCAGGCTACAAACAGGATCCAGTTTGTGGCATGTTTTCCTTCTGACCTGCAGCCTTTTCCTCAAACGGTGTGGAAATAATGCTTGGGTGGCCCAGGCTGCTGAGCCATTTCAGTGGTTCCTCTTCTGCATAGCCATCTAATTTGGGCTATATGCATCTGTGCTGAGTAGAGGGGAGTTGGGCAAAAATATGCTCATGAGTATGGTATAGCATCTAGGAGTAAAAGCTGCCCTATCTGCTGCCCTGCACAGATGTAGGGAATATCAGAAAACTGGGGTCTGAGTGATGTTATGACACTGGCTGGATATAGGTCCTGCTTGATGTAATCTTACATATTCCTCCTCAGGCTGCAACAATAGAAGTCACTGGAGTTTTGATAAGTACCTGGTTTTAAGCATTTTTTGGTCAGAGACTGAGTTTTCCTGATGTAAGTCCACAGCTCTTGAGCCAAAGGGCATCTTGCTGAAATCCAGAGACATACAGCAGCTTTGCTTTCTCCTGCAGCCTGTGTTTAGGCATTGGAAAGCAAAGTTTCCTGGTGGGTAGAATCCTTTTTTCTTCATTTTTTTGGTATTGATATTTAATCAAATTTTCAGTGTCTTGTGTGTCTGCCTCTTGGTAAAGGTATACATATGCAACAACGCTGCTTTTTCAACAGTTTTGCTTATCTTTGGTGATATCCAGATATGCACAGTCTTGCCCTGTAAAGGGATTACTAAGAAGATCTGTGGTATATACGTTTCTTGCAGGGCAGGGTAAAAATTGGTTCTTGTTTTACAAGGCAGTGTGGCTTTTTCCCTTTTTTTTTTTTTTAGCTTTACCGTGTTAACATTACCATTAACATTACTCATTTTAATATGTAATTTTAACATTGCCACATTAATGACTGACTTTATTATTGTTCACCCTATAGTCTGTTTTTAAAGCTAAGTGTGCATCTGTTTTTGGAGGAAAACGCGGGTGGCTAGATGAAAATGTCCCACTAATTTGCATTTAGTTTCTAAAGCTTGGTCATGGAAAAAGTTTAATCAATACGTGAAGATATTTTTGCTCATTTTGTCCTTTTCTTGACAGTTTTCTCTCCAATTAATACTTTTTTTTTTAGCCTCTGAGGTTAGTGTTGTCATCATTTTGTTCCTCTAGAGATCTTTCTTGTGTGATTATGGAGGAGGAGACAGTAGTCAGGGTATGCAGCTTCTAACAGACATTCCTTCTGATGGATTTGGCGTGATGAAAGGCAAATGGGGAGAACGTCAGACCTAGCAAGGAAGGCAGGGCAGTCTGGTAAGATGCTTCTAGGTTTTGGAGAGTTTCAGGAAATAGGATGGAAAAATTGTGCAATACCATTCGAGCAAACTTTGCTCCATAAATCAATCTAAGGAGACTGGCATTTGTGGTTTTCTTTTTTTCTCCTATAAAGTCAGCTAAATGTTTTTGCTGTAACTGCAGAGAAGCAATAAAAAGCTAGTGAAGGCAAAGGTTATAAACAAATCATTCAGTGCCGACAGGGTCCATAGATGCTGACAAGAAACAAAGTGAATAAGGCTGGTACTCTGTTCTGATAAATTTCATTGATTTCTGTGCTGTGTCATTATGGTTGCAGCCTGCCCTGTTATCTTGTAGCTCCAAACCTTTCATTATGCCTTCCGATGATAACAGCTGTTGATACGCTGCAGGATGTTGCATTGACTACCGTGGGGGTAAAGTACCATTTGCTAAGAAATAATTAGGAAAAAACCCATGGCTGGGTAGCTTTGATCTGCCTGTGGTATTGTCCTTGCAGAGGACATTGCATGCCACCAGTGCATCTGTTTCCTGGATGAGTTCATGAAGCCTTTACGAGAGCACACGTGCTCTATACAGCAGTATAACCAGCAGGGTCCCGCTTGCTGCATCAGTGCAGGTGCTGTGCTGCTGCGGTGCGCCTGGACTTTGTCAGACCACTGGGTCAAGACTGTCCCGTGTCCACCTCTTTCACATAAACGCAGATATCTGAAGCTTTTTGCTGCTGTGACTACCCTACTGTCTGCGCCACGCTGGGCAGTTTGTGTCTAGCCCAGGTATCTGTTCAAAGGTATAAGAGCAATGTAAACATGTCAGTAGCTGTCAGACTTGCACAAGCCTCAAGCCACCAACATGAGCAAAAGTAGAAAGTTAAAACATGAAAACAGTCCCCAAATCCTGTGCGATTCCCTAACAGTATGAGGTGAGATACAAGGCACCTCCAAATCCTGGGCATTTTGAGCAAATAACCGTCTCCCTTTAGTCTATGTAAGCACAAATGCAGCCATTAGTTTCTAGTTTGTTTCTGATCTGATGCTGGCAGGAGAAGGGGCCCTGGAGCGCAGCCTGAAGGAACTTATAGCAAAAGAGAGCACAGGCTGTGCGTGCATGGTATAACCTGATACTGGGATATGCTACAGGAATGCTGGAAATCCGCCAAAGCACCTGCAGGCTGCTTCTTGGCAGGAGCATTAGAAAGTACTTGGCTCCCTCTTTCTCACTAAGAGTTGGTAAAAGACTGAGAAGAGTATACATATGTGGAGGAAAACTGGGATAAGAGGACAAAAGGAGCACAAACCAGGTCATGCTTTTAACACTCTCTATAATACTGGAAAAAGAAATAACTGTGGACTGTGTGTTATTTCAAAGAAACCCAAGCTCCAGCTATGCTAAGAGGAAGGAATTTGAAAGGAACTCCTCTTTATTCAATAAATGCGCTATATGGAGTTACTTATTGTAACATTTCCATTCCTCTGCAACCCACCCCATCATACCAGCTTGGGGTGCTGCAGTGCTCCTGCAGTCCTAAAAATGTTTTTGGAGGATCACAGTTCCACTGCAGCTTTTCTGTTCTTTGCTTTTATATGCAGATTTGTATTAGCAGGCAGAAAAGGTTATTTACTGCCATCACTGGAGTAGCCCTGAACCCGTCATCTACTTCTGCCTTTGACCTAGCATCTTGCATGCTGCTGTCTCGTCTGCCTCAACATCCTGAGCCTTTTACTCTTCTGCAGCTTCTGAGTATAAATCAAAAGCCAGCCATGAGTTCAGGGAGTCCCAGGGATGCAGTTGCAATAACTTACTGCACAAATATATTTCAAGGACAGGCTTGGACTGCAAGGCTGCTGTCTGCTAGGAAAGAAGGTAGAGCAGAGGTCAGATGTCCATCACAGAACAGATGAGATGGCCCTCCGGGGACCTGCCTGCCTGCCTGCCGACCGCCACTTGTTGCTCTTAAAGACCCTGAGGTTGCCTTGGAATAGGCTTGCTTGCTTTTTGTTGGCAAAAAAAATCCCGAGTTTTGGGGGTGATGAGAAGTACCTTTAACTGGAGATGACCAAAGAGTGTGGATTATTGAGCGTTAGGATAGGAGAAGGGGACAGGAAAGTCTAGTGGTATCTAAACCTGAATCTTGGTTACACCTGTGACTCTGCTGACACCATTCAGTTGAGAAGAAGGATATGGGGATGGAGGCTTGAGCGCTGCAATTCTTAACCTTCCTTATGAGAGCATCTAAAATCCAAAAGTCAAATCAGTGGTTGATCCCTTTGTCTTCATGGGTTTTACACAGAGAATAAATCTTGTCCAATGTATGTGTTTGGTAATGCTTTTTTCTTTACAATTCTGGAACAGAGTTATATCTTAGAAGTTTTCACGGCCTCCCTGACATTTTGCAGGGCTCCCTCCTTGCAGCGCCATGGAATGCTGTGTTGCTTTTGGTAGGTTGCCACACCGCTTTGTCTAGCTCAAGGCTAAGGGATTTTATTTATTTTTATTTCACATTGTTTCAGCTGTTTTCACTTTTACTTTATTCTTTTGCAGCAGAATTTCTTCATGGATGTGGCAGCACATTATGTTTCTTGGTTTATAAGTTGTAGTTAGTTAAACAGCCTGGTGGATTTGTTTGCCTTTATCTGAGAAATTTTAATACTGTAGCAGCAAGAATGAAAGGTGACACTTCGGGAGCTGAGCTATTATCAAAGTGAGGGAAGAGATGGGAAAGTTGTTCTCCCAGAACACTGCTGATCTGAGCTTTTTCTGGCTCTCTTGTTCCTATTCAGTTAAAATCCCTGGATGAGACACTATCACTCGTAAGTGCAAAAGGGAATCTTTGCTAGAGTATATAGCAATGTAATTTGAAATGTAACTGTATGTGTGGTTAAATTGCATGCACATATATACATTGAGATCTGTCCTCTACAAACTCTGCATTGTTTTCCTAACTATGATTTTTTAAAAAAAATCTTTTTGCAGTGGTTGATTTTCTGAGCCTGTGTTGTTTGTATGCTTTCTGCTCTTCATTATATAGGTTTTATGTTACTAAGACACCATTAAATGACATTCTTCATCTCTTATTTTTACATTTTTTTCTTTGAGCCAGCTAAATGACCAATTAAACTGTCATTGTGAATGAAATCTGAATACATTTGTGTATCAGTAGCAAGAGAAATGTTGGCTGTCACGTTTAAAAACTATAACTTAGCATACAGTCTCTTGTTCTTTTCTTGGTTTCAATGAACAGATAAGTACTGTTACCTTTCATAATAGAGTGACTGTTCACAGAGTGACTACTGAAGGGTTTACTGTAATAATAAGGTGAAACTGATATAAAAGGACTCATCTTGTAAAATAAAACATAGCTGTGTTTACTGATCTAGAAAAGGAGGAAATATCTGAAGGCCTCCTTCTCATTCTCTTGTAGGATTACCTCGACTGTATCACTGACCAGACCAGGCTCTCCCTTGGGACAGAAGAGCGATCAGCCTTGTTTGGAAACATACGGGATATCTACCATTTCAACAGGTAAATTCATATTTAGCTAAATGAAAACAGTTCAATAGCTTGTGTTAATGGGGAAGGAGCAAACCAAGCAAATACTCTTTTACCACTTTAATACAGCCAAGATACATAAACTGAGAAATGGTCTGTCTTTGATTCTCAGCAGGGCTGGTTTGCTGAGATCAGATTTTTTAGCTGTTTATTTTGTGAATCAAGCGTGGTCTCCATTTATCTTTTTTGTTTTCATGCTGGGTATTTCCATGAATTTAAGCCTAACCTGCTCTGTGCCCTAACTGAGCCTAATGCAAGACCACTGCAAATGAAATTCTTGCCTTATTAGAGAGACGTCTTTTTATTCCTGCTATATTGGGTCATTTTGTGTACCGATATACATCACTCAGATCTGGGGTTTGTAGTTTTATACTACTAGGGACTCCCTGAATTAATGTCTCAAGACTGTATTCAAGTACTTTTCCATTTATTGAAGGCTTCTGTTCAGTATCTTTACAGCCTCCTCTAAAGCTCCACAGATGGGATTCTAGTGTATATTGGGAGCCTGTAGTAAAAATTCTTGCTTGTATAGTTAGTGCCACGTTGTGTGGGACCTGTAGTATTTACAATTGTAGGAACATGCTTACTGCTACTTTTGTCTGAATCCTCTGTTACTAGAAAAATAATTAACTTATTCAACATTTAAGGAAAACCCGAATATTCAGTCGATACAAGAAATATATTGGCATAAAGTTCCCACGTCTTTTATATCCTATTAGTCCTCTAAAAGCTCTCTTAGCTTTGCTGTAGTTGACAAAACATCTCCCAAACTACAGATAATTCTGTACAGATAATTCTACAGGATTCTGAAGTGGAGGACTTGTGTAAAGAGCATCTTCAATGTTTTTCTGTCATCATGGGAAGCTACTTTAAAGTGCTTCTGCTGCTGGGATCACTGCTCTTTATCAAAGGGAAGAGTGGGGACTGATCTATTCAGAACTTATGGACAAAGGTGAAACCTCAATCTTTTTCTGAAACTTAAAACAGCTACTGCAGAGTAATGGAAATACACTTAACTAGAAAGCTGCCGTGTCCTGCTTCAGCTACAACAACTGACTTGACTGAATGTCTAACATGATGGAAAATACATAGCGGTAGCCTGATCCTGTGTTTTAGAGCCATGAGACAATGATCGTGAGCTTACAGCTTCCCAGCAGTCATGGGATGGAAAAACCCAGTCCTGGCTATTGTATTTTCTGATCTTTCAAAAGCTAAAGAAATGGCAGACTTGGTAGCTAGGACACATTTATAACAACATCATTGCAAATATTACCTAATAAAAATACTTTCAAGTATGACCAGTCATTATACAAAATAATTGAGCTGCAAAAAAAGGTTTGCAGAGGTTTAAAAAAAAAAAAGAAAAAAAAGAAGCTTTGGGCAATTTTACAGGTAGGTATGTTACAATGGTTAAAACTCACTGCAAAGTTGTCCAAAACCTCTAGCAAATTACTAATGTATTTCAGGCCTTCTAATTTAAAATTCTACATGGAAATTGTGAGCTTTTAAGACTAAACACTCATTGTGGATCCCAATATAGCTTCAGGGATTAAGTTCCCTCCTCTGTGAAACTTGGCATGTAGCTTCTGGGTCCTAAACATACTCTAGAGCCTTTTTATTTATTTTTACCTCTGAAAAAGGTCCATTTGGCAGTTATGTGTTAGTACTTTCAGATGCTTTTTGTGAGCACGATTTTATAGTTTCAGAATGACTTTTTTTTTTTTTTTTCAACTTTGAATTTGACCATTAATCAGTGATCAAAGGTTTTAGTCTTGGGTTTTTTTTGATTTTGTATAGATCTGAGAAATTTCATTTCAGTAAATGGGAATTTCTCTCAGCTAAACTACTTACGATTTTTAGATGTTGCATTGAATGGCAGAAATGATGGTCAGGATGCTAACTGCTAGTCCTGTGACTATGATCCCTTTTGGGAAAGCTATTTCTTAAAGCAGAATCACTAGTTATATACTGGTCCACTGCTCCTGCTCCGTCTCTTGGGAAGAGCTCCCCCACTATTAATTTATTTATTCGGAAGGGGAAAGTGTTCTCTAAGTCAGCATTTGCTGCTTTCTTCCTTGGCATCTCCTGTTGAGGTTCTTTCCAGTGTCAGTTAATAAATTCTCTACCCAATACCATGATTGTGAAATGGGAACTGCAGAGAAACGTGCTCAAGTTTAGTACTTCTAGCAACACTCGGATGATCTTACAAGAGGCCAAGCTGAAACCTCTGCTGCTGACACAGATCATCCTGCATGGTCCTTGTCCATCGGTGATGACTGAAGTACACTAACACAGTGCAGAGCCATGTTCTGTAACTGTCGTATTCAGCAGTTCCTGTGCTCTGAGCTTCGTGGTGGTAAGGGCTGGCTTGTTGTCAGGAGGAGCCTTCATAAAACCTCCAAGAGCTCACCTTTAAAGGAAAAGGGTTTTTCCTGAGTGCAAAGAAATTAGCTTTGGCCAGAGGATTTTTGTGACAGTGAAGTTGATATATCAAGGCTAAATTTCTCTTGATTGGTTTTTGGTTTTTGTTATTTTGGTTTTTCTTTTTACTGAAAATCTGAACTTTTCAGATTCATTTTCTGGATTTTTATATGGTGAAAATATTCAGTCATGAAGACCAGACTGTGCCTGCTATGTCCGTTTGTGTTTTGAATGCTGTGCTCTGTCAGGCATTGAGAGAATAAAGTTTTTCGGAGATGCTGTTACTTTAGCATTTATGGCTAGACTGCGCAGTACTTGGTCATCAACTGGTTTTTTTTGTCATGGGTTCAGGACAAACCATGCTGTTTCCTTTCTTCCTCTTTCCATTCCTTCTGTTCCACCAAAATCGTCTGTCTGATGTCCCTGTCATTAACCATCTCTAACTCTCTCTGATTCAGACCAAAACGGAGGAGAAAAATTCTTGTGTCTTTAAAATGGTGTGGTGATGATATAAAATGAATAAAATACCTGCCTCACCTGAATTGTGTGTGCAAATATGGTGATTATTTGCAGACCTATAAATGTGTTTATCTCATTCTTCTTGAACTCCTGTAGTCAACAGCTTGATACTAACCTGCACTTTGTCATATTGAAAGTCTTCACTCACAGGGGGAAGATAAGTGTTTTGTCTTGAAAATAATTCATACTGTAAAAAATCAAAGCATCCTAAAAGACATTGTAATGAGACTTTTATTCATTTAACCTGAAAAGATAGCAAATGCATTGCATGAAAAATTGTCTGTCTCTTTATGCTTACCTCTCTTATCCCAAAGGAGGAGTCAGCATTAGCTATCGATGATGATCATACAGATTCAAACTTTTCCAGCCCGTAATAACCCAAGCTGGATAACTCGGTATGTGGTCTTAAGTGGCACTGGTACATAGAGCATGCTTCAGTCTGAGTCTTGTTAGTGGTTCAGCTGCAAGAGTGTCAAGTTCTTCTAACACTCCTTTCCTGCCTGGGAGGCTGGCACAAGCGAGTCACAGAGGCCGAGAGCTGTGGTACCATCTGTGAACAGTGTAAAACCTCTGGATATTCAGGTGAAGGGAACTAATGCTTCTTCTCTCTCTTGTTTCTTTTGCCTACTGTCAGGTGCTTAAATGTAGCCTATAATAATAGCCCTGCTCTTTCGCATGTCAACTTGGTATTATAGGGATTTATTTAAGTTTTTCAGGATCCCTGGGCGTGACAGATTTGTTATTTTTACAATGGCAGGCTGCTCTTGCCAATCCCATTCTTACCAGCCAGATGAGACAGAGTGCAGCCTAGGTAATGAAATCTTTCAAAGCATAGCCTTTATGTTATGGGCCTTTGCTGAAGACACAAGACACTAGCATTTTTACTGCATAAACTTGGACTCATTGCATGAATATATAAAATCTCTAAGTGCAGCATTACTGTATACTGTAGGAGAAATAATGTGTTATTGAAGGAGACCATAGGAATAAAATGGCAATCAAGATGCTACATACTCTAAGCCATCAGGAGAATGTCTGCCTGCTGGATGGCAGGAATCCTCTGAGCCTGTTCAGTGTGTTTGATGTTATTTCCAAAACTCCTGTGTGGAACACAGTCAGTCATTATAATTAATGATTATGGTCAATATCACTACAGCTTGTTTCTTTTGCTGATGTAAAGGAGCTTCACAAGTGTGGGTTATCAAGCAAGGGTCATATTTTTATTCCTATATTGATGAAGGGAGAAATTGAGGTGTGGAGGTTAAATCATCGCTATACAGTGTGGCTTCGTGACCACTGAACCTAAGGTCTTGTTTGTCTTTGTTCCTTGTGACTGATTGCTGATTTCTCCCCTTCCTTCCTCCAGTAATTAGAGAAGCAAAGAACAAGTCAGGAAACTTTTCTGGTTTACTCCTTTTCTTTCTTACACCAGGAAATTTTGTCAGCTTAGAGGGGAAAAGGGTAGTTCCCTAGATAGAGGCTTAGCAACTCTTATGCAAAACTTGTTCAAGGAACCAGCTGTGAACTGGGAGAAAAGTAGCCCTAAACGGAAAATCATCTGATGAAAAGGCGCGGGGGGGGGAGAAGAAAAGTTCTATCTGAGAACAATTTGGCAGAAGACTCAGTTTCTTCTTTCATTTTTCTGAGTACATCTTTCAGTAAGACTAAAGACTATTTGGATCAAGGAGAGACCTTTGAGGTTTTCTTCTTCTGCTTGAACTCTTCCTTTCACTGAATTGGCTTTCGAGAACTGAGTTTCATACGACAGTGAACGTGCTCTCTTATTGCTTTGCTCCTGTTATAATGAATTCATTTCCTGCTTGGCATGTCAAAAACATAAAATCTTCTCAGCAAGGTTTTATTTTTATGCATGTAGAATTTATATATTCCCTTCCAGAAAACTTTTTCCAGGCTAACCATTTTTCTTCAGCAAAGAGACCCACTAAAGGTAGACAAATTTTCCTGAGTGGGCTTATTACCATTCTTCTTGTATATGTAATACAAGCCTGGTTCTCATCTGTGTTTTCCAGACCAGCTCCTCATCTCCCTCAGTCAAGTAACATACGAAGTCTTTATAGGATGGGGCATGTGTTTCAGTATCTTTCAAATTTTGTTAAAATGTGTTTTTCATTATACAAGCTACACAACTGTCTGACTACACCACTATAAGTATCACAGAAGAGCTGTCACTCTGAAGGAAGTGGCTCAGCTTTGCTTAGATCAGCAATCTATGGTCATTTTGATGACTTGAATTTTTAAGTATGTGGGAATACCATTTCCTTAGAGTGCTCCTCTGCCTCCAAACAGAAAACCCCAGCGGCTATACATCTAGGGGGAAGAGGGTCATCAAAGGGGTTCTTGTTCCCTTTTTAGGACTCCCTGCATTTTAAGTGCTTTGGGCTTCACTGCCGTGAATGATGAAACACTGTCTGGCTCTGAATATACAGTTGTGTCTATTCCAAGGTGTGCCATAATTGTCTTTCCTTTTCCTGTTCTTTGTTTTAGTGAACTTCTGCAAGACCTGGAAAACTGTGAAAATGATCCTGTGGCTATAGCAGACTGTTTTGTTTCCAAGGTAAGTGGCTACTGCAGGACTCTGCAGCACACCATCAGCTGCAGAATGATATGGGGGAATAAGATTAATTTGTTAGCTTTTGAGATCTACTTCTGACAGTTTGTGTGACTTCAACCAAGAAAAGTTAGCAAATCTATGGAAAGGGAAGGAATTTCTCTTAGTAGGTGATAGGGATATGCCTCTGATTTGCATTTTTAAAAAATCAAGGAAAAGGTGTTATTTTCTTCAATAAGTATATCTGAGCTGGTGGAGCTGTTGATCTAGAGTTCATTTTCAGATCTTTTTTTTGTGGAGTATTACAGGGATTCTTTTTTTTTCCTCCTTTTTTAATATAGGTGATCAAGTGGTACTCCAGTTATGCCTTGTCAGCTTAAAAACAACTAGAGAATACAACTTGGCCGCATTTTTAGAAAAGGCAATCTTCTTAACGTAGTTGTGGCCATATTGTTTTCTGAGATGCATTTTTTCCTGAATCCAGCAGCCACACCTTAATTTTCCTTTTTAAAGGGGATGGCCCAAAGTCTAGCCTTAAAAGATTCAAATCTCATTCTCTCTGAAATACTTTGAATTTTCTGAACATTGATCTGACATCTTTATTCTGTTGGGCAGTTCTGAAGCCAAAAAATATAGAGAAGGAGAAGTTGTTAGGTGCAGGAGAAATACAGGGAACCAAGGTAGGTGTCCTTCATTGTAGGAAACCCAGAGAGCCAGTCAGGAAGAAGAGGAATGGCTGTAGTGGGTTGGACAACAAGAGGTTAAGTAATTTGGGCTACAGATGACGCTAGTTCACTGCAGACTTTACCAGAGAACCTACATATGCCTTGAATCTGTAGAGCCCAAATGTGTTATGAAATAATGCCATCTCCATGATATTTCTGTAGGAAGAGGGGTGGAAGAGGTGGCATGTAGTCGTTTAAATTTGGATAACCTCTCTATAGGTGTGTTTGCCTTTTTTCCATTTCAAAAAATAAAAACTCACCCCAAAATCAAAACAAACAACAAAACCAAAAAGCCAAACTTTATGTTTTATACTTTGTTTTATACTTTTATACTCATGTTTCATACTTTGTCCTGAATTCAGTATTGCCAGCACCAAGCATTCCATGTAATAGGTCTAACACTGGGATTTAGGGCCACCCTCTCATGGTGGTACAGTAATTTGTTTGGCACTGTTGTGACACAAGGGATTTTATGGTAAAGGAGAGTGATGATGCCAGCGTAGTGCTGCTGTTTCACCAGATCGCTTGTTTGAGTTGAGTTTGAGAAAGCTGTTATTTATCTAGTAACTGATCTTTTGTTAGCACTGAGAGATCTTAGTGTTGGCACCACTACTACAAAAGTAGGATGTATTTTTGCCCCGTTGCAATGGGGTTTATGGCATGTTGTTATTGCTCCAAATAGTCTATACTGAATTGAAGGACAGAGAATGGGATAAGGGCAAGCGCAAAGTCCTGCTTCTGGAATGGAATAACCCCATGTGCACACTGGGTCTGGCTGACTAGGAAGCAGCTTAGCAGAGAAAGATCTGGGGTCCTGGCGGACAAGAAGTTGAGCATAAGTCAGCAGAGGTGAGGCCTTCAGGATATTTACAGATACCACAGTTTGGAGCTGGTAGATCTTTTAGCTGTATTGCTTGCTTACAGCTGGGACTACTCCTGGGTGGGACATGAAACAGAAGTGGTGCAAGTGATAATAGCAAATCCAGGAAAAAGTTGCACTCTCATTCATATTGGCCAGCTGAAAGGAGTTTTCTGGTAGACTTTCTGGCCATTAGTTCCAAAATCCATCTGCATATCATTGCTTGTGCTTTTTGTTCCCTTGTCAAATGCTTTTAGCATTTGTATTATTGGCAGGCAACTGCCTAATGGCTCAGAAATTGCTAGAGATTGCAGTCCTAACAAGCATTTTTTTAGCTTCATCCAGACAAGTGCAAACACTTAAAAGCAAAATCAAACAATACCAAAATGCACCCTTCTGGTTTTGGCTGTGAAAATGTCATTACAGTAACTGCTGACTGTCTTAACAGACTCCAGTTGTCCATTCTTGGTTGCTTGTATCTTCCCAGCATTGAGTAGTGGAAATAAAACTGCCTTTTTTGGCAGTACGCAGGCCTTCAAGTCTTACAGGACTTTGGCCATTTATTGTTTGATTGCTTCAAGTGTGCGAGATCTTCCCTGTGAGTTAAGCATGGGGCTAATATCATGCTGAAGTCATAGCTCACAGCCTTAGCTAATGGATGTAGCTCTGCTGGAGCTTCTTTAATGCTTCCAGTGGAACTGTGCTTAGGTTACATGAGCTCTGCCTCTAGTGCTGTTTTTTTCACCCTACTGGTTCAGCTGTGAATACTGTAGTTGTTGGGAATTTAAACATATAATCAGGTTTTCACTATAGGTACTGTGTTTACTTTTGCATTTCGTAAAGCTCAGTAACTGCATAAAGTAATAGCCATTTCTTTCTTCAGGGTTCATGTGAAATGACACAAAGGTGGCTTGCATGTATAACAGGACAGTTATGGTTAAAGTAACTTTGGAGCTTGTTGGAACTAAAATGTTTGTTATTCTTGAAGACATCTAGGGAGCTTCGTTTTGTAAGGTCTAGTTTTGGACCTATTTTTGATGGACTGTTTCTCTGAACTTGACTTCATTATTTGGCTTTGCTCAATAAATTTGCTCTATAGCATTTTATACTTCCCTCACACAATCATACAACACTGTTTCCTGCATATAACTTTCATGCTTAAGCAGTAAACAGCCTTGCAACTTTTACTTTTAAGGGAAATAGAGTAAGGATTATCAAATCACATCAGCGCACTTTGAACAAAAACTCATAATTGTAGATTGGGATCTTTATCTTAAGATTTGTTGTGCTGAGTGCGCAAGATAAATAGCTCCTAAAATGGCAGCTTTTATTTGTTAACAGACTTCAGCAAGATGTCTGTAGTGTAAACTAGCCAGTAACATAAAACTAAGAGATAAAATAACCATGCAAAGCTATGACTTTATCTAAGTACTTACACCCATAGTTACACAACTTACAACATTGTGTGATATCCCTCTGCTTCCAGATATTAATTCATTAATAACCAACAGGCAAATATAGACACAAATGCAGAAAAGCATGCTTTTTAAAAACCTGCTGTCCTGACATGAATTGCTGCCTTTACCTTTCTGCCCCAAGATGCAGATAGTGTGGATGGGCATTTGTTTAAACAGTGTGGGATGGCTGCTGCATGGAAATAGCCTGCCACTGCGGGTAGTGGTGTATGAGTTTAGTTTCTAGCAGCTCTGGTCCTGCCTTTTTGTCTAAAGGAACTGTGTTAACTCTAGTACGTTAGATGTCTTGGAGACATTTTGCTGGTAACTGTAATCGGAGGCTGATAAAAGGGTTCCAGTGCAAGCTTAGCTATAGCTTAATTATTCACATAAAAGTTTGTTTATATGTTTTCTTGCCAGCTCAGTCTTTCATTTTCATAGTAATGATGCCAATGTTAATTAGAAGATTGACTTCAGTATTCCACAGGTTTACATTTAAGTGGGTTGCTGTAAAGGAGAACTTAATTCTGGCACGTCGCTTTTCTCACTCAACACCCCAGAACTTCAGAACATATGTTTTCTGAAAGACACACCAACAGCTTAACCAAGGAGAAAGGGAGAATTACTGTAATCTAGCATCTCATTAATGAAGAGGTGATCCAGACAATTGGCTTCAGCTTATGCTCTGACTCAGCTCATTTTCTCAGTCTTCATTTTCTTTTAAAGTGCCTTTTATGGCTATAAAAAAGCACAGCGCACCAAGAGTTGAAAGAAGACCGGGGCTGTAGCCATGTGTTTGGCACTTCACTTCATGAGGAGACGCACAGTGAATTGATTCAGCAGCAGGGGACAAGCTAAGTATAGCTGGGATTGGGGGGTTGGGCTAGATGATCTCTAAAGGTTCCTTCCAACCAAATGCATTCTATGATCTTGTGCTTGGCTTTGCTCTTCAGGTGACTTGTTGTCAGCACAGATGAACTCTCGGCTTGGATCTCAGTTTTTGCACCCTCTACCATACCAGCTTTGGGCCCCCAGATTAAAAAAAGATCTCTAGAGCAATTCCAGTCTCCCTGCAGAGATCATTTCTTAATCTGGTTTGAAGACAGTTGAGGTGAACAAAATTATTTTCAAGCTAAATAAGGATAAGACCGTCCAAAGAAATCCTGATGAGCATAGCTGGTGTTTTGCTTGCAGATGGAAGTATTGATAGAAATGTATTAAATCCAACTTAGTCCTGGCTTTTCTGTTGCTTCTGAACATAGTTCATAGCATTGGCTTTAGCCTGCAGGGCTTGTGCCCTGATATGCTCCCAGTAACACGGTGCTCACTCTGGGGAGTCTGCTGTGCAGTAGAGAAGGCCAGCTGGGCATGTGAACAAAAGGTCCCTTCTTTGACCATGCAGAGGTGCTGGGTAACCAGGCAGGTGGTGGGAGAACCGCCGTACTGGGTAGCGCAGCTTCCTTACTCAGACTTAGGAAGACCCCCTCTTGGAAGTGGCTTGCTTGGCTGCTCTCCCAACGCGTTCACGTGAATCCTGCTGATGCCTCGGCAAGGTGTACGATGTTGATTCATACCAGCTTCGTAAGTTTGAATGAGTATCAACAATCTCATTCTGGAGGCAAAATACATGTAATTGACTTTCTACTGGCAGTACGTTCGCATAGCTTGGTAAAAGTAAATGCTTTCTGATGGTTTCGTTTGATGAAATGAGCTGTGGCACAATAAAGCACGTACACATGCAAGTGCAGTATGAAATTTGGAGTCTTGACTGTTCAGAAAGCAGGGATGATTATGAAACCATTGTTAAAGTTTTTAGACGTGTTGAAGGCATAAGGACTTTTAAAAAAAAAAAAAAAAAATACAAGTTGTTCCGGTTAATAGATAGACTAACATTCTTTTAAAACCAAAACTCCCACTGAAAATAGTTTTGACCTTGTGTTAAAAACCAACCAAAACAATAAATCACACCCCACCTCACCCTGCCCAAAAAATCCAAAACAAAACCCAAAGTGGAAGAGTGTGAAAAGGCTCCTGGGGATTTCAGACTTGCTTTTGATTTTGTGGGGAATGTGCACTCAGTCCACTCTGAAACCCTGAAATGTTTGCCCTTGTGTGTTTTACAGCTAATGCTTTCATTTGTTAAAATTTCACAACAGATGTTCCTTTCTTTTTTATTTGAAAAGCAGAACAATCATGTGACTATTTATGACTAGAATATATATTTAAAAAAAAAAAAAGACACAAAATGTTCTGCACTGTGCTTATGAAATATTTCTATAAATTACATTGTTCTGTGATTGTAGCCATGGGAATATATTACATTTTATACCAAAAAGCCCCTAAACGAAAACCTTGTATTAATATATACATATATAAAATAAATCACCTTTTTTCATCATACTGAATCTCATCCTAATGCTCTCTCTTAAGTACCCTGACTTATTACAAGTGCTAGCAAGTTTGGTAGTGATTACCATAGATAATGAGACAATGCAATGTCTGCAGTGCTCTGAGGTTTGTTAATTTTTTGTTTTGAGCAGAGAGGGTTTGGAGCTGTGGCTGGAGGTCCCAAGTTTGGACATGGACAGGCTGTGACACAAGCTCGCTGTCTCTGGGTGTGGACACAGGGTGTAGGTACACTGCCGTAAAAACTAGCTGCAGCAACAGAATTAGTCCAAGCATGAAAAACCAAGCTAAATCGTTTAACTCTATTTGTATCAAGACTACATTTGGTTGT